TTCATGGGTTCATGGGTTCATGGGTTCATGGGTTCATGGGTTCATGGGTTCATGGGTTCATGGGTTCATGGGTTTGGGGTTTGGGGTTTGTTTGTTTTTGTCTTGGAGGTTTTGGGTTTGGGTGTTTTGGGTTTGGGTGTTGGAGGTTTTGGGTTTGGGTGTTGGAGGTTGAGGCTTCCGAAGGGATGTGTTTGCAAAGTTTTATTGCTCTTAATATTTTTGATTCTTTTCATCATTGATAGCATTGGACGTGTAATACATTTCGAGAAGTTTGAAACCATGAACGCGGATTCTTTCGAATTAGTGACAGACGCAGAGGCCTCTACTTCGAGCAGAGGTTTTGTACAGCGACTTCTGGCTGATGCTGCCTCCTCCGCGTGGAGCAGCAGTTCCTCAACGACAGCGGCTCCAGGAGAAGCTTCAGTAGGTCCGTCGCAGAGTGCGGTAGCACTGAAGGAGCTTAAAGCAAATGCGGTGGTGGTACAGGAGTACGCAGCAATGGTCCCGAAAGACTATGCAGAGTATGTCTTCATCGCGTTTCTGCTCCTCTCCGGTTGCTTCTTTACCTATGCCGGAAAGAGAATACAGAAGCTGGTTTTTTTTGGTACTACTTAGACTATGTTGTATCAAACTCAAATTAATATTGTTGTTGCTGTCCTTGATGGACCTTGATGGGGATGCCTTACTAGAAGTATCCTCAAGAGGAGGTGTAGGAAAAGACCTTAACGCAAGATGCTCACTTCTAGGACCGTGCGTAAGGTACTTAATAGGTTGATGTATCTCGTGCCCTTGCGCTTCAGGCGTCGGCTTTCTTGGTGGCTACCTCATATTCGATATTTTTCGTGACGCGATTCCTGATACGGTGCCAGTTTCGAGTATCCGCACGTTTCAGCTGGTCAGCGCAGTACTCGGAGGCATAGTTTCAATAAGTCTCATCCCTGTCGCGATGTTTTTACTCGGGGGTCTTGGTGGCTTCGTCGTTTCCGGCGTTCTCTGGCAGCAGCTACTTTCGTTCGAGGCGGTGATCGCGCAGGTGGAGGCGCTTCCAGACGTCTACAAGGCCTACGGTAGCTGGGCACGGTATGCCTTCGTCGGAATAGTCGTACTGGTTTGCGGACGCCTTGCGTCCACTAGCACGCTCACAACAGCAACGTTTGCAACACTTACCGCTTTCTTGGGAGCTTATCAGCTGTGCTTGGCGTTTAACCACATCTGGCGGCTAGAGGAGGGTGTGTTTTTCACACCCTTAATCGAGATGAATGCACTCGCAACCGAGAGCGGCGACGAGATGCTGCAGCACGAGAGTGCGAACTTTTGGTTGATGGCCAATGTGTACGTCTGCGTTTTTGCCAGTGGAATTATCGTGCAGTTAAAAGAACTTTGGATGGACAAGAAAGGAGCAGGAGCAGAATGAATCAAGTACTTAAATTGATGATGTTCTTTGACAGATGCACACGCTCCTCACGCACATGGACGGCTACTCCGAGGCGACTGTCATCGCATCACAAGAATTGAAAAATAATGAACATAACATTTTTTTTTGCATCGCTGACTACAGCCAGAGGGGACGAAGTTGCAACTCCTAGAAGAGGAGAATGCATCATGGTCTGAACATTTACTCTAGCTAGACTAAATTTTCGCTCTTAATAGACATGCTGAAGCAGGCAGACGCAGAGGAATCAAAAGGGATCATCGCATAACCACACACTGACACCAGAGTTGACCACCAATTGGAGTGGACGCCGAAAATGAGTGTGTTCTCTACTGTGACTAGAGGAGGATTGAGTTGATTCGTTTTCCTTATTCTTCGTCGTACGTAAGAACTAAGCACGGTCCGTCACTCAGATCAAATATTGAAAGGTTTTTCTGAGACTTTCTTAACAACATTTTACAAACAAAAATATCATCGTCCTGCAGCCGACTCGCGCGAAAGACTATTATCATTACCAACACAAATGGAAAAGAGCACGAGCATGTCCTCGAACAAAGGGAAAATAATCCTCCTTGGTGCGTTCGCGACCTCGCGGCACCTTGGTGCGTTCGCGACCTCGCGGCACGGCGACCTCACGACCTCGCTCCATTTTTTGTTACAACCAGACAACGCCTTCCGCCTGCCGCAGTTTTGCGGTGGTAGTTGAAGAGTCACCAACCAGTCCGACCAAAATAGACTTTTGAAGAGAAAGAGAAGGAGTTCATCCCCAAACTCGAGTCCAACGATGAAGTTCATCAATATGGCGAAGTTGAAAACGAGCAAGATGGAGAAGAGTGGCAGACGGATGAAATTGAAGTTATCGACGATACAGAAGAGCTAGTGTTCGACGAAGGCCTGACCCATTTCTTGATAAGCTTGTATCGATTTGTCGTAGTTCAAGTTGTACCCTGTCCTGGTCTCAATGGAAATATTTCTAGTACGGAGGAAGGAAGCGGAAGTAAGTATTCTTGTACCACCAGTTTTATCGAGATATTGTACGCTGCAGCGACAATGAAAAACTGCGCGAATTGTTGTTTCCAAACGGCCGGCCTGCGCCTGCGCAATATGCAACTTTGTCTCCAGAACAACAGCGCATGCGGATTCTTCTTCCCATGAGTGGGAAGTTATTGCCTGACCCAGTGGGCAGGCATGAAGAACATGATATAGAGTAGTTTGAGTTTATGTTCTATTGGCCCATCGTCGCTACCATCTTGCGACTTCCAGTCGACCGATCCGACTGGGCGCTGCGTGGTTGGCTGTTGCAAGCTGAAGAGACCTCCGAGTCGATCGCACGGCAAAGATACGCAGAACGCGTTTTGCGCTAGTTTTTGTTGCCATCGCCTGAGGATTGCGAAGACCTCTCTTCGATCCACGCTCTGGACAAACTTGTGCGACCCGCACTCCAGCATCTAAATGACTTTGAAAAGTTCGACTTTGAGTACGCTTTCACAGGGTACGAGATTAACGCAGCCCTTTGCTCGCCCGATGAGATCGCAGAATATGACGTATATGTCCGGTAAACAACGGCCGCCTTTTTCCAGCGGGTCATAGATGTATGCGATCAAAATGTGAATGAAGTTTCTTGTTTTTCCATCCTACTTGAGAGAGTCAGTCAATGCAATCGCTTCGGGACCAAGCTGTGCGAGAGGCAATCAAAAGTATCAGCAGGATAATATGCCAGAACGATGGAAAATGTTGAATGATTCATACGAAAGCACGCAATTTGGCGCGCGATCTACAGACACGCAATTGATAAGTGCCTGGAATATTTCCGGGCTCTGGTGAAGCGCAAGGTGAGTCGTTGTCTCGATTCTCATGGCGTAAATCGGCTTCACCCTGACGCTCTGGTGCGAGCAGTAGACGACGAAAACCGTCGGCTTCAGGTGCTGGGGGAGTTCCTTATTGGGCGAAGCGGAACCCACGAGGATATCACCCGATTCATTACGGTGGCCGATGTCCCGCTTCAGACCAATCTTGAGATCCGTGTTGGCCTGGCACTCGTGGAACGATATTGTAACCATTTTATAGCCCCCCTCACCACTGCTGGACTGGAACGCTATGCAGACAGCTTGAATGCCTTCAAGCTAGAAGTCGAGGAATCGTTCCATTCGTTACGAGCACTTCTGTAAGCGAAGTTGCTTGGCGAAGCGCAATTGACCGAAGAGACGCTCACTCCACGCTTGAAGCGTTTGCACAATGTTATTCAGCGAGAGTGGAACGCTCCAGAAGATGCTGGCGCCGCACGAGAAGCAAGCACAACAGTCTCTATGGCCGACAGTGCACCAGGACCTGCGTCCTCGTCTAGGAGCACACGGCGCAGCAGCAAACTATAGTCATTACCAACCTTTGCGGAAGCGAAGAACACGAGCATGTCATCGAAGTCAGCAACGAGGAAGAGGGCCTGCCTAGTGCTCCACGCACGATTTGGCCGATACGAGACCTAGCCGCCAAGGAGTTCATCGCTCCTTTTTTCGATACTAGTCTGGAGCTCGTGCCCACCGCCGGACCTTTACGTTGGCTGAAGCACCAACGTCGGGTCGAAAAGAAGACGAATCTCGAGCAGTAAGAAATAGTTAGATGAAGACGAGGCAGTGGGGGTGGAAATACCTGTTGAGAACGACGCGGAGGAACTTGCGTTTCGAGACGGGATGGTGAATGTCTACCGTTTCGTCGTAGTTCCGCGTCGTCCTCTGACAGAAGCCGATCGACGAGTCAGGACCTTGCCGACGACTGAAGACGAGGCAGAGCTTTTCTTGCACAACGAAGACTATCTCGAAGTCGTAAAAGGCTTTTATTGGAGTGCGTCGCCACTGCAAGAGAACCACGAGAGCGCGAAAAAGGCGCAAGACCACAATCAAGCAAGGCAACAACTGCTACGCCCTTTGTTGCTTCCTGAGAATGAGCGACGTGCGGGACTTTTGCAGCCAGATTGGGCGAGTCTGCGCAACGCGCGAAGTCCACGCGTCCTTCTGCCGCTGAAAAGGTTGCCACTGTGCTACCAAGCTTTCACAGTAACACTACGACTTTTCGGAGGGATAGGGGCGTATTGAGCCGCCACTGGCCCCTTGTTGCTGTGATTCTTCGTCTTACGGATTTGGAGTAGAGGAGGCACGCTTGGCCGATGCGAACGGACAACTGTATGCCGAAAGGGACAGATGTATGCCGAAAGGGTTTTGAGCCACTTTCTATTTCAGCCGCTTGTTCCTGTTCCTGAAAACAATCATGAACAACGTCCGCCAGCGGAACCCCTGTCAACGAGCCAAGCCATGGAAAAAATCATCCAGCCTGCGCTTCAGCACATAACAGACTTTGACCTGTTTGATGTTGGGTACGTTTTCTCCTTTTGTTCCTGGTGCCAAATAATGATTCGACCTGGTCCACCCGGGATGGAGAACGACCGTGAGTTCCACATGGCACAATATGACGAGTATCTCGGTACCGCGTTAAGTGTACATTTTAAGAAAGCTGCTCGTGATCAAAACGACCACTTTTCCAGAAAGCTCGGAGCCAAACACAAGAACGAGGAGGTGGAGGAGAAGCATCCACAAGGTAGCGGCAGTGGAAGCAGCAACAGCAGCAGCAGCTGCAATTTTGGTCCTACGAACGATGCTAACGCTAAGAATATGAATAAGGTGTCGTCGCGTCTTTGGTACGAATTCTATCGGTTCGCAATCAAGCAGTATCAGAGCTTGTTTCAATCTCTCTTGCATCATTCAGGGTTTCCGGCTGATGTTCGAGACCTCATAGCGATGCACAGCGACGGTCGGCCTGACCTGCTGAGGGAGTTTCTCTTGGAACTTGATTCAGTGAATGCTGAGATGGAACTCCTCCTCGAGATTGTGAGCAGGGATCATGACCTCTACAAGAGGCATCTGGTAAGAGCTGGGTTCTGAGAGTATGCAAACAGTCTAGGGAATTTGAAACTGGAGTTTCGGGAAGCGTGTGACCTTGTGCGAGAAGCGTTGCGCGATGGGGGATTGAGCGGCGAAACGCTGGAAATAGACGCTTTCGCTCGTTTGTATCAAGCTATTTATGCAGAGGTGGAACCGGAACACGATCAGACGCTTTAATTGAGTCTTACTTTTTGTCTGTCGCTCTTCATCGTGGTTTAGTTTGAGGAAAGTGACGTATCGTCGAGAACAAGGAGGGCGTCAGCCTTTCCCATATAGTTTACGAGCGACCACACTTGTTTTTGCGGATCAAATCAATGTGATCAAATTATGCACTGCCCAAGCATAGATGCTCTCTTCATGTTCATCATCGCGTGTTCATTGTTCAATCGCAAACTTTCTTCTTCTTGATAATCAGGAGCATCATGAAGTTTCATCCTGATCCCTTTTCAATTGTTCAAGAACGAGCTGAGCACACTGAGTGATGTCTGATCGATTAGAGTCACCGCGTATTCATTGACCATCTGTTGGAGAGAAAGCCAAAAAAGAAGAGCTGCTGTGAAATGAGTGATATTTTGTGGTTTTTTACATACATGTTAGATATATTGCATGGAGCTGGTCCTTGTTGGATAAGTTTATAACTCTAAAACCAGAAATGATTTTGTTCTTTCCTGACATGATTCTCCTCACAGGCTAATGAATATGAAACATGGCATACATGCATTTGGTTGGTTTCTTTTGCCCCATGTCAACTTGATATCCCTCTGAGTCCCATTTTGAACAAAGTTTTCAAAATAAATCGAAATCCGAAAAACTCCTTTTGTTTTTCCTATTTGACAAACAATAAACGATACATAGTCATCTTCTGGCTGAGTGAGTAAATGAGATCGACATCAAAAAAATATTGAATATGATTCGTTTTGAGTACTCTAAATGATATCTTTGGCACCACAGTGACCTGTTGCGACTTTGTTTGCATCTGCCTTTTGTGAAAATTCTTCATGACTAGCATCTGTCCACTACTGCGTACACAACATTCCTCTACAAAAATTTGAAAGTGATTACAGATACGTTACAATACGACAATCATGACGAACAACGAGGACATGAAGGATGGTGGGAATGGCGCTGCGCCTCCACCTGTTGGAACACCTGCACCTGCTCCTGGAGGCGCAACGAGTTTCGCACAGCTCGCATCACTGCAGCAGCTGCTTCCTGGACAACTTCCTGCGACAGGCCCGGGCACAACTGAGCGCCTGTCTAATACTAGTGCTAGCGCATACCAAAACATGCTCTTGCAGCAGCAACAAGGCGGAGCTCAGCACCAACAACCCTTGTTCAACGGCCCAAGCCTGCCGCATGTAGACACACTGAGCAGTGTCTCCGAGCCGGTTTCTGTTGATGACTTAGAGGCGATTTTGCGTGATTGGAACATCGAGGATGGAGATCAAATTCTTTCGGTCAGCAGCTCACGGCGAGGGGCGAGCCAGCGTCTGGGTGACATAAGCGAATGCGAGCAAATAACTGTAGGGGGAAACAGAGGCGAAGGCGGAGGTCACCAGGCAGGTTCTGGCGTAGACCTTGATTCGTGGACAGCCGAACTGTTGGGACAGCTTGGAAATTGCGAAAACGACCATACCCGAGCAACGGAATGCATCAAACAGTTTTTGAAGGTATGAAACTACTATGCATAAGTACAATTATACTTGTGTACTACATCTCCATCTCGCGAACGTCAACATAATTAATTGATGACATCATGTCCCCGCACCTTTCTTTTGTTTTTCTTGTTTGTCAATTGCTGCATGGCAAAGCCTCCAAAAAGTAAAGTAAAAGTAAATCACAACATTTCAAAAATCCTTCTCAGGCGTTCGAGACTCAAGCAACAGCAGAAGTGACGAATCACCGCAAAAGTCTCGCGAACGCGAATCGCATTTTACTAAAGACCTTGCAGCGAGTACACCAAAATCATAAGCAGTTATCCGCAGCAATGCCCCAAATTCAGAAGCAGGTACACAACTACCTCTACCTTTTTGTGATAGTGATTTCTTGATGTTCATGATGATATTCATCATTGTTCTCGTAGTATTGCTTACTTCTACATCTACGTATGATGTGCTGGAGGTGTACTCCTTGATGTTTCAAGTTTTTCCAACTCACGACTACGACAGCTCGAAGAGCAGCGAACACGAGCTGAAGTTGCGGAGTCCAGATGTAAAGTTCTCGACCTACACCTCCAACACGCGATGGCCTCTCCTCATGAAAACAACATGCCAAGGTGACGCTGTGGTAGGTTCGCTGCGCATCATCTGTGTCTTGTTCCTACATCGTCAGATAGTACGGAGAATGAAACATCATGATGATGATGCGTAGCAGAAATTTCTTGAGAGGGACGAAGCAGGAACAGCATCATCTTCACGCGATGATCTTCTTAACATTAAGAAGCTGCAAGAGGACGGGCGAAGCCATAATTCTCATTCGGAATCCACGAACATAGGACGCGGATGTGGGACCTGGAACAGCGTCCTGCTACGGGTCGTGGATAAACCAGTACCAGAAAAAAAATGAAAATCTAGAACACAAAGGATCGAGCTGGGCTTGTGCTCTTTTTTACAGTGCCGATCCGCGCTTGGCGTTCAATGTCTTCCCACGTCGCAATCTCGCTAGTACGCGTGAGTCCCATATTGAGGAGGTGGACATCAAGTAGCCACCCTTAATATCTGTTGTACTTCTCGAACTTTCAAAGGCGATGCTTCTGATCGCACTGTGGTTGACATCTTGTTTAAAAACCAACGTCCTCCAGTATAAGTATGGACGGCGTTACTTTCCCGTTCCCGTAATTTCTCCCACGATCAGAATCGACCATCATCTCGACAGAAGAAACAACATCACCAAAGCGAGTGGACTTTATGTGGTCGACCCGATTTTTTACGAATCTAACTAGATAAGCTCCTCCACAACTTCTCTCCCTCGACGACACTCACACGAACGACACCCGCCGATATGGATTCACATGTTGATACTAGAACATGAAGGTGCAACAGGCACGACCACTGCCGCCTCCACTACCTTTTTTTTGCTATTTTGGGATATAATCAGGACATTCTTGTAGTTGCGATCATCGTGTAATTAACGACCCTCGTAACCAGACTCACTCTGAAAAATGGGTCAAGTAAGTAAGTAGAAACCGGAATACTAGTGTTAAAGCGACAAGGCTGATGGAGAAGGAGAATTGAAAAAACAGCTCCAACTACTAGGTACTATATTTTATCTAATTAAGATAAAGATATCCATTCGCCTTGTTCGAGTTCGACATATTTGTTGTTCTGTCTTCATACAAATATTTGACTTTAAAAATTTCTGTACATCCTTAGGTTGTGACATTCCCGCACGACATGTCAATTTGTTTTTGACCGTAGTTAGAATAGAAATAGTTAGTCGGAATTTCATGCCTTGCCCGCTCGTAGAAAACATGGCTGTAGTACAGGAGGAAATCGTTACATGAATCTTCAACATAATTCTCTGGTGATAAACACTTTTTTACCCTCCGCCATCTCAACATCCATCAAGTAGGTTATTCGCTATCTTGACATTTCCTTCGAAGATGTCAACTTTCATACTTCTGCCTCGTCGAGGAGGGTTTGACCTTTTTCTGATGTCATGAAGATGTAGTCATTCCCCGCACTCGTTCAACGAATCGCTTGCGAACAAAATCATGAGAAACTTCAAGCACCATATCTATCAGCATCAAATGCGATGGGATAGCTCTCGCACATAGGATGGTTCGTTGTTCCTTGCTTCATATTCCACGAAGACAGACACAGAGTGATAGTTATGTCCGAGAGACAGTGACAGCACGACGACTAATTTTAGCAGCTCCTACAAAAAAGCATGACGGCGCTGCCTGAGATTGACAGCGCTGGATGTTGATGTTGAGGTTTTTCAAAAGTAGAAAAGCTGCTGTTAATATCAAGAAAATGTGTGTGAACATTCACAATATTTAATACCAGTAAAGGCATTTATGAGAATTTCCTTCACACCATTGATGTAGCCCCGATGATCATTCTGCCCGGCTCGACATGGTGGATGGAACAAGAACTAGAACGCTTTAGCGAGAAAATCTAGTGACCAAGATCATTCCAGAAAAAAACTCAGGATCCATTGAATCACTATGGTAACCAACACGCGCAACAGCCGAAGCTCATTTCCAGCGCCTCGAAATGCTCCCGGTGCCGTCAACGGGATCTTTGCCACCGGAGCCAATGCGGGCGTTGTCTCTGGCAGCTACCTCGATTCTGTGTCTGCTGAGAAGAAAAGTCGCATTCTCGAACTCGCTAAGGAGCTAAGGGGCTACAAGGGTGCCTCAAAGCCACAGAGGCCAGCGTCAGCTAGTGCGGCAAGAAGTGGTAGTGGACGAGCAGCGTCGTCTTCCTCACAGCTGTTACCTGATCATCTGCAAGGAGGGAGCAAAAACGACTCGAAGGACAGCGTCCACAGTGTCAGCAGCTTCCTGGAAAATGTCGATGCAGCAGAGACGGTCACTGAAATTGAGCGGCAGCTTGCAGCTGCAAATGCACGAATTATCGAACAGGAAGAACAGATCCTTGCCCTGCTGGAAGCGAAAAGGCAGGACACCGCGAAGGCCCACCAAGACGTGCAGAAACTGCAGAATAAGGTACTCATAAAATATATTAATACAATTTACATGTTGTCTACATCTACTGTGCATGTAATTTTTGTTCGGTTCAATAAGCTACAGAAACTAAGGGAGCAGAAGCTTTTTCTTGTTTTTCTTGATGCGGTAGAAAATAACTTCGTTGATATTATACTTAGATCGAGTCTCTTGCGTCCGAGAAGCGCAGTCTGGAATTGAGGATGGACGAAGTCGGACGCGACCGAAGCGTGTTGGAGCGACAGCAAGAGAAACAGCGAAAGCAGCTCAAAATTGAGTGCGGTCATGCTGAGGAACTTCGAGGTCTGGTTGTCGAGATGCTAGACCAAGCTGAGTTTTGGAAATCTCGGGGCGCCGGTGACAAGTGGCGACCTCGCCTCGAAAAACTTGTTCGGGATGTTACTGCAGCTCCAGATGGTCAACTTGTTGACCAAACCGACCTGTTGAATCCAGAACAAAGGAATAGGAGAGCGAGTTTCTCTGGCGGGCAGGTGGTCGTAGACGCAGCCGGTGATCAGCACTTGGAATTCGCGACGCCAGAGGGCGGCACGCACACAGTCGTCGTTCCTGGAGGTAGTGGAGCGGCCCCGTGGAACAGGCCGCAGTGGACCGACTCTGTCGTCTTCGGCGAGCGCGCTGCCATGAAAAAGAAGCACGAGCTCGAGATTCAGAAATTACAAAACCAGGTCGAAAAACTACAGAAAGAAAAACTGCAAATGCAGAAGTCCGCGACAGCAAGTAGCAAGTGTTTCGGAGGAGGAGATAGCGCAACTGCAGGTGGCGTCGGAGCCACTAAGCAAGTGGCGCACGACCGGAAGATGCTCATGGATCTCTGTCGCAAAGTGAAGATAATGCAAGACCAGAACGCGCAGTTGCGCGGCAAGATAGAGAAAGACACTGTCTACATCAAGCGACTCGAGAAACGATTACTAGGCCAACCTGGCAGCACCTCGCTTGTGGGTGGGGGGGCAGGAGTCCCATTAACGTCCGCGCGAAGCGCACCCCACCCGCACGACGGAAGTAGACCAGTTACGCCGGGCGGAAGAAGTCGTAGCAGCATGAACTACAGAGGAAACTTTCACCACAATGGTGCAGGAGCGATAAACCAACACGATCACGCGAATACATCGCTCACGGGAGCAGATGGTGGCTCCTCCTCGTCCTCGTTCAACATTGGAGTGCATCGGATAGGGCAGCGACAACGACCGGCATCGGCGCATCAAGTGGGACCATCGTCATCGCCGTATGCAGTTTCAAGCAATCCTGCAGCACGATCAAGTACTGGAAGCAGGCCATCGAGCCATTACGGCGCTCCTGAATCGTGGCAGCATAGTCGCGCAAGTGGCACTGCTGGTGCTTCGGGAACGAATTTTGCAGGCAGTCGGACCTTCCAGACAGCACTCGACGGGGCTCTGTCGCAATCACAGCACACGGTAACAGCGGTCCTTCGATTAAATCAATATGATGCTAGGTGTAGCTGTGAGGTAGATGCCGGTGCCAGTCACTTGATGTAAAAGAGCTCGAGATTAATCTATCTAAGCTGCTGTATCTTTTACATTTGTCCAGCATCTCCATGCCGCTCATGCCACTGCCACAACAGGCTCCGTCGTACTCGTTCTCGCCGCAACGGGTGTTGGGAGGTGTCATTACTGGCGAGGAGAATGAAGCCTCGATATCATCAGAAATGGCTGCCGTTCACGGTTCGGTTGGCGCAACGCTAAACGCAGCAGCCCAGATCATGTCACCAGTGGAATCGCTCAAGGAGTCAACCATTCTTTCGGAAGCACCAGCCGAAGGAAACAAAGGGGAGAAACAAGACGACGTTCATGGTAAACTCACTAGGGAAATTTATGAACAAATCAAAAGTTCTTGTAGATTCATTGCTCTGTTTGCTAGTGACCGTCGTGTACCTACGTCCTCTATTATAGGTTTAGACCAAGGAAACAAGAAAACTACAATAAACATAAAGCTTTTTCACAATTTGAGCACTCACCGGAGGCGTTGCACAGGGCTCCGGCCTGCCTCTGAAGGTGAGACCTATGGGGCTGACAGGACGACGATAGCGCCGGCGCTTAATTAGTTTGAGCAGTTAGCCGGATACTTCAGGACGCTTGTTGATAGTTGCCCTTTTCTCTTTTCTATCTTCCTCTGGTCTGTCTTTTTTCTAGTTAGGCCGGTTCCGTCACAATTATGTATAATTTTAGGGATCGCAGTAGATATATAGTAGCTACTAGGGTCTTTCTCTCTGGTTGTGGGTTGATTTGGTGAACCGGTACCCCATAGCAAATAAACCTGTGCACACAACCAGAGAGCTGAGCACTCACCGGAGGCGTTGCACAGGGCTCCGGCCTGCCTTCGAAGGTGAGACCTATGGGGCTGACAGGACGACGATAGCGCCGGCGCTTAATTAGTTTTAGCAAATAGAAGGATACTCGCCGATAGTTGCCCTTTTCTCTTTTCTATCTTCCTCTGGTCTTTCTTTTTTCTGATTAGGTCGGCTCCACCAGAAATATAATAGTGCTCAGACAAAGTAGGCACCATCACCAAAAACCAACTTCACATCTCCTTTGTATGATTAAGGTCCCGACCAGGAAGTTGATCACCGGTTCGCGGTCGAACAAGAAGCATCGTCTGCCGATTTTGCTGCTGACCTAGGCGTAGAGCCATTTAGTGAAGCTACCATTGCACCTGACGCGCCCTTTCTGGACCAATCGAACACAAAAAGCAATTTGCAGGTCGACATCAGCACAACATCTGGCGGAGTAGAGCTGATACGGGTGGATCTTTCGGCACCGGCTGGCAAAAACAGCGCTAGTAGTATTAGCAGTAGTGCTGCCAGAACCAGAAGACAAGCACAAGCTCCTCCTGTTGTCAATAGTTCTTCGAGCCAGTCTTATCATCAGGGCGCGTTGGGGAATGTGCTGAACGTCGATGAGCAGTTTGATACAACGATATCTCCGGTAATGCAAAAGGAAGAACTAGAACTACTTCCATCTGAAGAGGACGGCGCAGCTAGTTCGACGGCGTTGCTCACATCAGGACGGATAACACCTGGTAGGAGGCGATTCCGCGTCACTCCGAAATTGGGTTCTTCAGGGCCAGAATCTACGAAGTCAGAAGAACAAGTGGCTGCTTCGTCTTCAACGAATGTAGGACGATTGCAGCAGCCGATAATATCAGCAAACTATCGGAAAGCCCAATATCCGTCAATAAACAGCAAATCGAGCAGCTCACCCGAGGATGTGTTGGCCTCTTTAATGACTGGACCTACCCCTAGCACACGACGCAATTTGATATCAAACAAACCAGTTCCAGTACGACCAGCTCCTTCAAGAGCTTCATCTACCGCAATGAATGCGAAACCACGCAGTGCACGTTCAGATCCACATCGACACGAGGAAGACGATGGCCTCCTAGGCGCAGGTGTGCCGGGGATAGGCAAGAAAGACGATGAGGCAGATGAAGACTTTGACCTTTCTATGTTGGAAAAATTCACTACCGATTGCGCAAGCTCACTCTTGCAATCATCGCCAGGAGCAGGGAGTAGGCCCGGCCCAGCAGGGGGGCCGTGATGTCTATACATAGATACATTGTTTAAATGTTGAGACTGAGAGCCATCCATGATTCCCTTCATAGAGTAGTAGTAGTTGCGTCGCAAACGCAATTTCACAAGAACAAGATCATTTGATCATTTCTCAGTGCTGTTTGTGCAGTACCTACAAGATTATAGGTTCCTCCTGTCAAGCTAGCGCAGTTGAATAGTAGTAGTGTCTCGATCACATTCACATTGAAACTGACGGCGGCTGTGAACTTTGATGAAGATGAGTCTTCATGTCAACATTTCTTTCACATTGCGGGGGAGGATTGAGGCGAATCTCCCACCCCACCCCTCGTTTAGGAGGCGGGGGGGCTGTACGTAAAGTATACTCGTGGTACATGGCGTCACTGCTACAAGGAGGAAAAAAGCTGGCGCCTGAGTGAGAGAATGAGAAAGTGAAAGACACTAATGAATATATGAGAGATCTAAATTTGTTTCGCGAATGTTGAAGAAAAGTAGAGCTTTGTTTGCTTTCAGTAGCATGAAGATCTGGGCGCATGACCACATCAGTATGTAAAATATGGTACACCTGGAGTTCAGTTGCTTCTGGACATCAACAAAAGACGAACAGCAAGCAAGCTTGCGCATCGTCTACAATGTGGAGACCGCAAGTGCCCAAGTCTCCGTGGGCCCGCATACTCATACCACTGCACTGCGAACGACTTCGGCTCCTGGTACAGTTTGACTCCTTGTCGCTACACTCTTCGATTCAAAATTCAATGTAAACAACAGTATATGCTTTGTTTCCAAGTCCAACGCCCTCCATGTTTTCTTGATGGATCGATTGTGACGATGGCCCTTCTGAATATTAGCCTGCTTTCTTTCTCATCATTGTCTACCTCTAAGTACACTCTACAGTCCGGCCCGTCTCAGTGTGGGATTTGTACCTGGGCGCCGAGGTGGATCTGCTTGGTCGGAAAGTAACCCTGCGACATTGTTCTGGCACCACATTGCAGTGGTTGCAGTATTGGGGTCGACGGTTACAGGAGCGCGCTGTAATTCTGCAGGAAATACTGGCTACATCTGAAGAAGAACTTGCCGATATGAATGTTTTGGTACAAAAGGACGAGATGAAAAAGGACGCCGAAGGGCACGAAGACGACAAAGACATTCTTATAGAACACGGAACGACGCACTGGCGAAATCCTTCGATCAATCTCAAAGCTCGCAACGGGCGACCACAATCGCCTCCAGGCAGTCCACACGGAGGAGGAGGAGGAGGAACCTCGAAGCCGTGTTCCAACGGAATGAGCCTGCTAGCTGCGTTTCACCAGTCGACAAATCTTTCAGGAGGACCATCTTCTGCAGGAGCACTACTAGATTCGACATCTTCAGAACATCAAAACAACAAGTACATCTTCATCGACGAAGCGTTGTTACTGAAAACACTCACCGCACAAAGCCGATCTCGTTTGGCTGCTCTACCAGCTGGCGCAACGACCTTCGAAAGTTCCGCGCAACAGAACAATAAGGGACGCGAGCGTGCGTGGAATCTGCGCAAGCTGATGATGGAGGTAACACAACTGCAAACGGCGGTACGACAGAAAGGTTTGCTGCGATCCACAACTGTGGACTTCATAGGAGTTCCGCTGGAAATGAGAGAGATCGGACTGTTGAGTCAAACCGTGGTCCAGTCACTCGAGGATGACATTGACGGCGGGGAATGACGAAATAAATTGAGACCGACGTTCCGTTTTGAGACAAACAGCATCCGCTTCCTTGAGGATGCAACGCTCGAAAACAAAAAAAGTTTGAAGCTGTCGACACGTCAACATCAATAATTGCTATTGCGGAGGTCATAAGCACGACATCAACATAAGTAGTCACACTAAGAAACATAAAAAAACGACACGTGGTTGGATGATGAATGCAGTTCTCTATTCCAAAAAAGTAGGAGGTTGAAAATATGAAAACATCCAGAGTTGGAGATTATGAAAACATCATGTGCATAGGCGATTGTGATGAAACAGCAAGTATGTTGTTATGTTAGGTAGTAACCTTTAGGTTGAAGAGAAACCAGGGGAGGTAGGATGAAGAGAAACGAGGAAAAAAGTACTTAGTAGAAGAACCAATTAATTTCTTGCAACTGGGTAAATATGATGCCAATTTTTCGTTTTGAAAGCGCAGAAGAACGCAAGAAGATAGTAGAAAGATTGATTGCATTTTTTCCATGCTCTGGTGGTTCGTTTTTAATCCAAATGACTCAGACTTCGAGTCTCCTAGTGACCAAGATGAAACTTGATTCCGAAATGAAGAGCGAATTTCAATCGCCAGATCCTCATTCCCTGCGCCTGCTACAACCGTACATGTGAGTGTTGGGAGCTGGAAGTAGGTGCTACTGCCAGTGCTTCAGCATGAACAAGCAAAAAGAAAGCACGTCTCGTGGAATGAAGTGGCGCGTGACTCAGGAACTACTTCCAACCGCCGGCGTGGCCTAGATCGCAGGTTGTGTCCGGACGCACTGCGCGGCCGCTGCCTCTGTTCTACCACGACCTCGATCCGATCTCCTCAGACCCCTGCGATCTTGCCCCTTGATTATAGAACACTACGACTAGTCCTATGATGACCATGTGAAGTGATGATGAGAAAGATGTGCTTATGGATAGTCACTGTTAACAGAATCACTACAGGGGAGAAGTGGATTTTTAGTTAGCTTTACTGGATATCATTAGTTTTCATGGTTAAAACTGAAGCCACTTGTTGCTTGTATCTTCAATTGTTCATCGTTCGCCATTCAGTTGATCGTCACGATCGTGGTAGAACAGTTTATGTCGACGGATAATATTTTTTGCTCTACTTAGTGTAGTAAAGACGTACCAGTCAAAATGGCGTTGATGAGCAACAACGCCTTGGAGCCCTATAGTGGGGCTCCTCGGCAGCAGCGGTCACGTGGGTTCGTTACCGTTCGAGAACCTGCTCTGGGTTTTTTTCTTACTGGTTCCACGGTGGACGACATGAACGGAATCTACGTGTGCGTGAAAAACGATTCCGTCACCGAGCTCATGGATCCGAAGCATGAGGTCCTGCTCGCTTACAAGAACGACAACCGTATTGGGTATGTCATGGTGTTGGTGCAGCCGAAGCAAAAGCCTAAAACAATGGAAGAGAAGATGCTGAAGCGCGCGCGGAAGATGCAGAAGCGCAAACAAAAACAAGCGCGACAGATGCGACATCTTTATGGTGGACGGTCCCTTTATGGCGATGATTCCGATGAAGACAGCGACGAGGAGGAAGAAGAAGAAAGCAGCGAGGAGGACAGTGACGACGATGAAGGTGAGAGAGGGCTGAATACAGCATGATTGAAGTCGACGGCTCATATGATGATCTTAATCAGCAGCTGCTAGCTAGTTACCCTTTTTTTTGAAAGAAGCAGTAAGCCTGATGTTATGGCAAACGAATCAGTATAATGTTAATGAATACGCATGTTAGAATGCGCCACCCATACAAGAAAAGTATGTTATCCTCTTCAAAACAGTCCACAACCTCCGCAAGCGTGAGTGGCTTGTCATTGACCAACGCGGGAAGGATCGATTCCGCCATGACGGTGACACCATTATCCCCGGTGCGGGAACCTCGTGGAAGCACTTGCATCGACTGCATCCGGACAACCAGAAAAAGGTTGACGATGAGGAGTTAAGCTGTCAGGAGGATGAGGATGACTATGCGTCCGTCGATTCGGATGCGGAAAACAAAGTCAATAGCGGCAACGTGAGCCGCAACAATTCGAAGAAATCAAAGGAAGCAAGCAGCTCTTCTTCCTCGGTACTTCTTGACAACACGCATCTTGATCATTGTCTATTAATTGACAGAAAGAAAATCAAATCGATGAATCATAGCCATCACCTGCACCAAGATGAAATTACTATGAGATCTATCCTTGATAGGACACAAGAACAAACTCTCACCAACTTAGCATGATGAAAGCACCGGTCTATCCTTCATCGTTTTTTTCCGATTCCTCTCCTCGTGAGAGCGGAGTTGATGATCGACCGCGGCGTCCTTTCTGACCTTTTGTGATGAATGTTTCCTGTTTTCCTAAAGATCACGCTAGAAGTAACAACGTCGTTCTTGTTGCTACCTTCTCATGATGAAAGCGTCGGCCTTTTCCTTCATCGTCTTTATCGGATTCAAAGGCTTGTTTTCGGACAAGCATTTGAATTTGAAGATCGGCCGCGGCGTCCTTTCTGAAGCAACAAGAAATATACTCAACGAATAAAAAAACATTCATCAACTACAGCTCGCTAAAGAATCTTTGAACAAAGTCAGACCAAGAACTGCTTCGATTTACAACCATACCACAGCGTTTTCAGTCAACGGCTATTCAGCCAAAAGAGGAGAAACCGGATGACGAGGATGAACTCCCGTGGCAGGTTATTGCTATTCTTGATAAGGAGACCGTGCAGGATATGCGTTACACTGCTAGATGCTATGACGCGAATATTCGGGAGGCGAAGTCGGGTCGTAGACTCCCAAAGGTGGAGGCGCTCACAGGTTCGAATTGGCTTCCCTCGTGAGTACACGTTGATCATCTACTGTCAGTCTACTTATTCCTGGAAGAGACACGATCACGAAGATAAAAGAAAAACAAGTCATCAGGCTACATTTAGAAGAAGTTCTCAGGCTTGTTTTCCACGACTGGAGTGGTAGTACTACAACAACCTACCCTTCATGCTACCTCCCGCTCTCAATAGAGGCATGATTGATCTTTTGAATCATCCTTTTCCCACCCGCCCACAACTAGGTCTTGACCCCGCACGGCTGGCTGGTTGCTGGGTATACAAGGTTACTGCGTCTGCGGGAGTGGAAGTCCGCGTCTCCCCTTTTTGGGACTCCCCGGTTATTGCACACACGCGCAAAGGCGAATTTTTACAGGTTGTGGAGAAGCGGACGATAGAGGACGAGGACCACGTGTGGCTAAAGTTGAAAACTGAAAACCGTTTCGATGCGTACAGCGGTATGTACGGTTATGGCGGAGGGATTTTCGGTAATCGCGATGATTGGATCGAAGAACGCTGGGTCAGCTTACGGGATGAGGATGCGGTACCTTCACCATCACGTCCTTGTTGTACCTGATCAAGTTCAGCTTCGCCTGCGTTTCAGATTTGCAAGAACAGTCACTACACTTACAGAGCGTGTATTAGCGTCTACAATAAATCACTGATACCACCAATTCCACTTACTTGCTTCATTTTCTGGTTCTTAGCCTTGGCAGATATGACATTTGCACCTCATCCGATTTTCAAATACGTCTACTAGGATCCCACCGACGCGTCAGCGTGTCGTTTGCAAGAAGTGGTTGACCTCCCAGAAATGACGGACGAAATGCCAAAGGAACAGGCGGATGCTGCGGCCTTTGATCGACCCTTTGAGCCTCGGTTAGAGGACGCTGCGAGAGAGGAGGAGGCCGAAGAGGAAGATATTTCTGCGGCGGCAGCAGCAAAACTAGGTAAACTTCTTTTCATGCAAATACATCTAGCTTGGCAACAATAAGTGTTTAGTTACCATAGGCATAGTGGCGAAGAAACTGAGACAGTGCTAAGCGTAGCAAGTTGATGAACCTCTGCGATTGAATGCACTTTTCTATGGAAATTCGAACACAACAATGTATGCTAAACAGAGTCCGCCGGAGCTGGCGAGGCTAATGTCGATCTGAGCCGCTATAGAATTGCAGAAGACGAGGAGTCTGAAGAGGCAGTGCCGGATGTTGGATCGGAAGTCGCTCTGGAGGGATTGAAAAATGAAAGCTACAATGGAGAAATCGCTGTCGTTGTGAAAAGTCTGGTTGATGGACGGATTGGTGTTCAGTTGAAGAAAGACGACACACCAGTCGCTGTGAAGGTACCTACTTATTCTCTAAGAACGCTGTAGCTGTTAATGTGGAAATCGATAGTTGAGCGTTGTTCTTGATTTTTTGTCAAGAAGTGAGACCAATGAATGTAGTAGACAAGAACTGTTGCAGCATCGTTTATCGTTCGATTGGTGTTTATCTTTTCTCATGATTCCCCACCACACGCACACATCAGTTGTCGAACGTGCGCCTCCACAGCGGATCGGCAACAGCGCCCAACGACGGACCGCTTGCTCAACATGCGCGAAAACTGGGTTTAAGTCTTTCGTTCCTTGGACTCACAGAGAGCGCATCCGACATCCCTGCTTCCGGCGAAAAGACCGCTGAAAAAGCAGAGGAGAACAAAGAAAACGTCGAGGTTGCCAAAAAGAGTACAGAGGACGAATCGCCACTGAAAGAAAAAGTTGCGTCATCGGGCACTTGCAGCACCGCTGCCAGCGAAGCAGCCTCTCCGGATACGACGGAAGAGAAAATGAATGTTAGCGAACAAACTGAGGTGCAGAGTGGGAGCAGGCAGGAGGTCGAAAAAGCACAAAATCATGTCTGTGAAGTTTTGGCAACGGCTCTATGTGCTGCGAATCGCGATGCAGGACCAGCAAACTTTACTTCGTTGCAAACTATGCGAACTTCCTACGAAGCTTTAGTCAATGCAGTGTATCCTGCGGGTGAGTCAAAAACGCACGTCGACACGGCAGCGGTAGTGAAGGAGATGAAATTCCTCGAAGCAAAAGCCGCGAAAAAACAACAGCAGGCGACAACTTCATCAAGCGAAGACTCGACCAAAAAGTCTCCCACAACTGCAACTGAAGAGGGATCTTCAGCAACCACAACGACATCATCTTCGTCTTCCCACAGCTCGCCGATGGACGTGCTGAAGCGGGGCCAGCTAGGTAAGCGTGCGCAGAAGGCCTCTATGGACGCTGAGGACACAGAGAGCATCAAGAGCGTTGTCTACGGTGTGCAGGAGTTGCGACGACTCGTTGTCGACGAGGTTGATGACGAAACGGCCGATAGTTTGCGTCTCAGGTTGACTTTGGTGAATGGTTTGCTCAAATGCAGGCGTGAGGCTGATGCGTCCAAAGAGGCTGCGGTTGCACTGAAGATGTTCCCGGATTCGTGCTGCGCAGCTCTGTGGCAAGCGCGATTTCTGATTCGTCGCGGGAAAATCGACGAGGGCGTCGAGTTATTGCAGCGACTGGCGTCGGGTGAGAGCGCGGCCAACGCACTCCTTGGCAAGACGTCGTCACCCAGCGACGATAGCACCACGTCTGCCTCGACTTCGTCGACCAAGTCTGCAAGAATGGCGCAGGTGAACCCAGACGCAAGCTGGGCACGTCTTGAGGCCGCCCGTCGCCTCAAGGCTTGGAAGGACAAGGAGCGTGGGGAGCGCCGTGCGATGGACGCGTATAGCCGTGGTTTGTTCAAAGACGCTGCGGGATTCTACGACAGCGCTCTTGCTGGGGCAGTTGCCTTTGAGGACGACAAGTGGTGCCGTGCAGAGTTGTTCGCTGCGCGCGCTGCATGCTTTCGACGCGAGCGCGAGTGGACAAAGGCACTCGATGATTTAGATAGCGCCCTGTCACTCTACCCGAAATACAAACGTGCGCTCTTCCGAAAGGGAGTCGTTCAGCTGGATGCAAGTACTTCCAGCACTTTTTTATGAATGATGTTAGAAAGTCGTTTTCTGAATTTGATGGTGATAACCTAAGTACCGCATGTACTTGTGATGAAAGAATGTCAACAACAACAACAACAATATGTCGACTAAATATGTCATATAAAAAAGAACATGATCTAGATCTTCTGTATGTTCTACTGGTGGAATACCATTTCATCGAAGCTGTCCAAGTCCGCCAAACACGACAAAAAAATCAGGTCGCCCGACGGAAGCGATCAAGAGTTTCGAAACTTTGCTGGGTTTGGACCGTGACTGGGAGAATTTATTGGACTGGCTCGTTCGTGCTCATGCCATGCAACGACGCGCTGTTAGTGGTAAGGCGCGCGCGAATGATTACATGGGTGGGATGTTCTCAGACGCCAAGATGGGCACCTGGGCGGAAGCGGCGCAGCCCGATGACATTGCGGACATGAAAGACCACTACGCGGTCTTGGGAGTAACACAAGATGCGACGGAGAAAATGCTCAAGCGCGCCTACCGTATCATGAGTCTGAAATATCATCCGGATAAAGAGGGAGGCTCAACACGCGCGTTCCAGCGCGTTGCGACGGCGTATCAGACTCTGAGTGATCCCGAGAAGCGAGAGCAGTACGATAACGGCGCGGATTTGAAGCACGAGAAGAAAAATAATGATGACAGCGACAGCGATGGCGAACAAGAGAAGAAGAGTTTGCGGGAAGAGATCGAGCGAAAATATTTCCCGGAACGCTACAAATTCTGGCCCTTTGGCGATCCTTTTGTGCAGAAACGCAAGCTCATGGAACAGCGACAACGACGTGCAGGCCGACCAAACTGGTGGGATAACTTCTAGGCGTTTCTCTTTAGTAGCGTTGGGAAGTATCCGCGAAGGCTCGGGATGTCGAAACGAGGTTTGATTTTAAAAACTTGTTTGTTGTTGTTGTTGGTGGAGTTCCATCGTTATTTATTCTATAGACTTGTTCCCCGCGCGGGGACATTCCCTGTATATCCCCTGTTAAGGATCGTTTCGTAAATTTCACATAGTCACAATTTCATGTTGATGTTGAAGCTCGATAAAAGCGTTTTTTAATTTGATCAGTTAGTACATATCCTAGTTATTCTGTTTTGATATAGACGTAAAGCCGAGCAAAAAAGTGACAAAAAATGACTTAATATTGACGAGGCTTCAATCTCAAGAATCTCGAATGAATACTGCCGTGGTGATCAGGTTGGAAGTGAAAACATGTACATTTGTCGAGTCGCATTGCGAATTTCGAGGTAGTTCTGTCATATTGTAGTATATTTCATTCTTGGTTGTCGTAGTGTGTCCGAGACCTCGACGGTGGACATGATACCTAGTTTGAGTTAATCTCTTCTCACCTGAAGAAAACTCATTCTCACACTCACATTGATTTTTTGAGTCGTTCAAGTACGGATGTTGATGAATCTACTTAAGTAAATAAATGATGTTTTCCGGCCGTCTAGTGAATTCTTTTTTTCTGGACGCGGTCAAAGAGAAGACTAGGAATATTCATTTATGCGACATAGTGTGAACGTTATTTTTCGCAAAGAACGAGAATTCTTCTCAGGAACATGATGGAGTAGCCCTCTCAACCGGACTCCATTTACATTGAAAGTGAAGTTCTTCAATAGCGGTCTACACCCTCTAGTACCTTGTAGTATTTGGCGGCTGGCTTCTTGTACTTCTTTATAGTTGAATGATGTTAGAAAGCAGGATCAACATCAAGAACACTAGCATTGAAAATCGAAAAAGAAACCCGACAAACAAATCATAGCAGAGTTTCCGTTTCGGTTCTTGTTGTCAAAAGTGAGAACAGTCAGGATTCGCACGACATGCAACGATGAGCGTAAAGCAGAGTTATTTGCTTTATTCCGCCACGCTCAGCGGAACTGCAGTTTTCCCTCTACCTGTTTGGTCGCTTTTGCCGATGAATCTTCATCTCTGTCTTGCAATTCCATTGTGGAAGCGCATGCTCGTTCGGTCAGTAACTTGCACAGATAACAGCTTACACGATCTGATCATCGGTTTTACATCATGATGACAAAGATGATAACCTTCAGCGCTGAGAGAATGATCATAGTGACCGCGAAGTTATGGATCACGGGTAGTCGGTGCACTCTGCATCTGTCTCTGTGAGAGAGTAGGTATCGGTTTCTAATGCGTCGGTCCCGCAATCTGACGCAGAGTCGATATGCCTTGGCACACCACTGAAGTGAGTGCCTAGTTCGTAACATAGCCTACCAACTCTTACTCGAAGAGACCTGAGTTTCATCTTGGTTTGTTTCTTTTCGGCTATCACATTGTTCATGAACAAGAACTTCTAGTCCGCAGTACTACTTGGTGCATTTTTGTATACAAGTAGATGATAGCCATTTGATTTATTTTACACAACTACGCAGTCGCAGACGGCGGGTAGTTCTCAAAAGAAGGCGTGCCACTTCCGGGTCTCCATGCACTAGTGCTATTTCGTTGCTTCTTGTTCATCTAGTTGCCCCACCTGCCAATCAAGAGTTGTGATCACCTGTCGTGCCCATGGATTCCTCATCAACGGGTGCACTGCAGTTCACGCCCGCTGGCGGGTTGTGGTTTTCGAACCTGAAAACGGGCGTTTGTGTGGAGCAAACTGTTTATGTTCGGAATTTGCGCAAGGAGGCAGTCGAAATCGTCGACGTGCGCATCAGCTGTCACAATGGCTTCAGCACAAATCGCCACGTCCCCCAAATCGGTGGGATCGTTGCAGCACCAAAAGCACTCTACCGATTCCACGTTTCGCCTAGTGCCAATGCCGTGCTGGACGGCGCTTCGAGCGGTAACAAGCCGAACGAAAGAGCGGAAGTGGCGCTTCGCGTCACAGTGCGGACCACGGATGACGTACTACAACGAACTACTTTCACAGGATCATATGCAATGAAACTCGCAGTGGTGTGAAAATGTTGTCATTGCAGCTTTTTTGAATTACCTTGGAATTTTGATCGTGAACCTTATTGATCTTCTTGTTAGACCAATAGCCCACCTGGTGCGAGCACTTGACTAGATGCAACGCTAAACCGCGCCAGAAACTTGACGACTATGGACCTCCATGGGGATTAGCCCGGTACTCTACATAACCTGCACGCAGGTAGGGCTTTTTATGGCTGTTGTTGTTGTTGTTGCTTATTCTGCTGCGTACTGAGTACCTAGATACTTCCTGAGCCTTCTCATTCTTGACTTTTCTCCTGGGCCGTGCTACTCGGTTGACATTCCTCACGATGTGACTTCTATCGTGTTGGCCTTCTTCATCCTGATCATCCTAGTGGTGACCTTCCTGCCCTTCCTGATCCTAGTGGTGGCTCTGATCTTGACCTTAAGAGGCGGAACGTGGGGAGGATCTCGATCACGTTGGTACTCAGTAAATCACAAGACCCGCGACCCCTACACTTCTCAAAACAATCAGGTGCAACGCCGCTTCCAGGAGGTGATGGAAATTCGCTTGAGCACGGGGGAGCGGATAGACTTTCCCGTCACCGTTGACCCTGGTATCTCGAGTCGACAAGCGGCAGCCGCGGCATCAGTCTCTCGCTCACCAATCAAAGCGATTCGTGCGGTAGCAGCGACGAACAATAATCACGCACTTGGGTCAAGTGGGGCTGGTAGAGCAGCGTCAAGCAATCCAGCCAGTGCTGGGGGTAAGAGAACGAGCACTCGTGGGCGATCCAGCAAGGATCGAGCTTGTGCAGCGCAGCTGCCACCGCTTTTGCAGGAAGGTGGGAGCAGTAGCAGCACGGCTAAGCGAGTGAACAAACAAGCTGGTGGACCTGCACAGGCTCAACAAGTGCTCGAGGACAAATATAGTGCCAAGCAACCAATTAGCCTGGAAGGCATCGACTTAGAGCGACTGAGAAATTTGGAGGACACTAACCGCTTCTTGCGGATGCAGCTACGAAAAAAACGTGCAGCAGAGACCAAGAAGTTGTATCTCAAGTGCTTCGAGGAGGTTGCCCGCGACATTGACATGCTGCGAGAAGAGCAGCTGACTCTGCAGCGGACTCACCGCGATCATATAGCTGCCGCGCTGGAGGATGCTCAAAGAGAAGCAGGCGAAGAAGCCGATGAAAACGTTGAACACGATCAGGATGGGGTCGCGTTATCACTCAGCAAGAAAGAGGGCATTTTTGACGTTGATGGCGAGGAACCTGAAGAAGAACTCCTGGGCACTTCGCTTGATCCATTGCAGGACTTCAATTACAACGACGCGGAGCTAACTTTGTGGATCGAAGGCCGGCTCGAGAATACTATCCGAAAAAGTCGGTACTTCTACACTACAACTGCAGATATGCGGCCACCTCTCGTAGGCAGTGGCGATCGGAAGTTGACAGCAACGACGCAGCGCATTCTGATCCGCAAGCTGGACGAAGAAAACGACCAGCTACGACACGTACTCGGTTACAACATGAACAATACGAGGATCACCGCTGGTGGCGCTAGTGGTCGTGCTAAGAAAAAAGGCATGAAGCGCTCAGCGAGAAGTAGGAGTAGCGGTCATCCCCCTCCTTCGCGCTCCTTCAAGCCCGACAATCTGACAGTCCCAGCCGGTGTAAATCTTCCGCGTGTACAATCGCCCTCGTCCACAGATCATGGGTCGTCATCTTCTAGAAGTAAGATACGGAGACAGCAAGCCAACCGAGGCGCCACCGGTAGCAAACCATCTTCAGCCCGTGGCGGGTCATCAAGACGAGTTGCCAAACAAGAATCCACCTTGTCTAGCACAGTGCGCTTTCAGATGCTGGAGCAAGAACAAGAGACTCATCCCGATGCTTTCGTTGGAGCACAGGAAGAGGACGGAGTCGCTGATCCACCTAACTCTGAAACGACGATGAAAGAACCCGACGAAGCTGATGCCGAAGGTCCGACGATTGAAACTGCGGGAGACGAAGAAAAAGTCAACAAGGCTCCGTCAGATCGAATCGGAATCGTTGATCATGCAGTAGCCATGGTTCCGTCTGTCGCCGACAAACAAGTAGAAGAAATCACAGCTATTTCATCGCGCAAACCAAAGGCCGCGTCGGGCTCGGTTGCTGCCAGTCTAATAAAGCACAAAGCCAAGGCCGCGGAAGAACAACTCCTACTTCATGCTGGGCTTCTCAGTCTCGAAGCCGAAATAATGGAGCTGCGTTCGGAACTTTTGAATACCTCGGGGATGCCAACATTGCAGTTTCCTCGACGGTCTGACAATGTACGAGCGATGGGATTACTGCAGTTGCTTGATGTCGACGATGGAGGTGCGGATAGAGCGGAAGAGCAGGAGCGGGATTCACAACATCGTGTACAAGATGAGAAAAACAGATTCAGTAGCCGTGAACACAAGAAGCAGACTCGAGCTTCTCAGCGGCACCAAAAGAAACGCCAAAGCGCTGTTTTACGACGCATCGCAATTCCAAATGACAAGGCTCCGCCATTGCCAAGGCGACTAGGCAGTGCCACTACACCAACCAGTGGCGGATCTCGACCATCTTCCGCCAGAGCTGGTAGCAGCTCGGTAGCGTGGCGTACGCCTCCAAGCTCACGGCCGCCTTCGGGCGGGATCGGGCCAACGACTGGTGTACTAAGCGATCATGTGCCTCCTGCAGAAGCTGTCTACCTTCAACATGATGCAGCTGCAGCGGCAACAGTGGCACGTGCTCACGAGGATCAAACAAGCCTCAACATGTCACCAGCTGCTGGAAGTGGACGAAATAGAAAGCGACGGGGACGAGCAGGAGTAGCGCCAGATCCAAGCAGGTCTGCCTCTCCACCGGGTCTGCGGATGACGACGGGTTCCGAACAAGCCACGGAAACGGGCACGAAAGAAAGAGTACCTGCGAAGAGAAAACGGCAAGGAGGCAAACGTGCCTCTGCAGGTGACTGGAATGACCCTACGGTAGAGTTTCCACCACCTTCGCAATTTTCTGCTGCACATGCGTCGACATCGGATAGTAACATGTCAAAGTCAATGGATAACGTTGGCCTCACCGAAGAAGATCAGCAAGAATTTGATGCAATTTTTTCAGCGTCGGCCACGTCTACCAAAAACGAGCGACCGAAAATGCCGCGTCTGCCACTCGACAGCTCGCAGGAAGACCCTCGAAGCGACGAGGACGACGAGGATGTGGAAAGGATTTGTTCTTTTGATGAAGATGCAGCTGCTCTAGCAGCTGCTGATGCCGCAAACGAAATGAATGCAGCACGCGCAGATGAATCACAGGAAGTTGACCAGACTCTGCACGGCACACAGCATAGTCGAGGGGAGAGTGTGTCCACGCCACTAGATGACCGGTCCGCGCCTGCCGTACTCGTAGATAGTACACAAGCACTTGGAGAAGCTGCAGTAGATACAACTAGATCCGCACCAGCTGAAACCTACGACCGTGGTCGCGTCATGAGAGACCTGGATTCCGAGCCGCTTGTGGTTGGTCTTAGAGAGAACGAAGAGGAGGTGCTGCGGGAGTACAAATCGCGAGGAAAGAAAGCGGCTGGCGCGCGTGGTGTAAAACAGTGGACGTCGGCGAATCGGTGGGAGTCCTATTCTAATCCAGGCAGCAAAGCTAGCACCCGAGAGAAATTCGACGTGTTCGAAAAACACGAGCGGTTGATGGAGCGCCAGAAACATAGGAAAAAAAGGAGTGGCGCCGCTGGCGCAGTCTTTCTTGCGGAGGAGCAACGGATCGCGGGGATGTATCCTGGGCCGGGGAGCAAAGAGAAGGCACCGGCGTCGGAGCCGTTAGAAGGAAGGATCAATGAAGACTTGAACAAGTCAAGCTCAACGTCCTCGTCTGGAGCTAGTCGCTCTATGCCTGCGACGGACGAGGAAAACGCGACTGATATCCGCGGAAACGAAGAGA